AAAGAAGAAGAAGAAGAATTAAAGGAAAGAAGAAGAAGAAGGGTTCACAGCAGCTAGCCAGCTAACTGCTGCTAATCCTCGGCTAATATGCAGCCAGAGGACCCAGTATCGTCTCTGAAAACTGATTTGTTAAAATCACCCGATACGTTTTGTGTTCTTGTGGGTGTAACAGGGAGCGTTGCAGCGTTGAAACTACCAGTCTTGGTCTCTGAGCTTCTTCAGCTCCCCGGGGTGAGCTGATTCATAGTTATTTATTTACATTCGTTATAAGAAACTCGTTTTTAAGTTCATCTGGCTGCACGATCTTACATGTTCCGCATGGTGGAGACATTAGACAGAAACATCAATATAAGTGCATCGTATAAGTAAGACAAATGCATTAAAAAAAACCTTCATATGGTATAATACTTTATTTCTAAAATTAATTTATTTTGCAATTCCATGACCTACAGCTATTGATTGGAATTCAGAAAGAAGCTTCTGTATCACTTTGTATAACCTGATAAAAGTATTCACTCCAGCTGCAGTCAGATTTAATTTATCTGCCTTTATGCCGCACTGTTGGATCTCTGTGAAGAGAACTCTGTGAACTGCCAGGTTCATTATCAGTGGATTGTTGGACTTATCTTCCCTTTAGTAGGGAGTCAGTGACTGGATGCTGCACACCTGTAAAGAAAGTTGGCCTCAATATGAGCTCACAAAGAAGTATTTCTATATTACAAATCCCATTAGTTGGTCTTATGTCATATGCAGATTTTATAAAAAAAGGAAAATTATGGTTTTCAGACATGATAAACCACAGTCATAATAGAAATATTTGATTGAAATATATTTAGTTATGTTTAATAGGGCTGAAACAGTTAATCGGATTAATTGCGGTTAATCGATTATTGAAATAATCCACAACTGTTTTAGTAACCAATTAATCGTTAACTGGAGTGTAGAGTCTCTAAAACATAACTATAGCTGACAGCGCGATTCACCTTAAGCAGGAATTATACCAAAATTATAAGGTAGGTATTTGCATTTAAGATAAAAGAAAAAAAAAACTGTTTCGTCTTTCAATATGCTGTATCCAGGACTCCTTAAGTGGAAAAGATTTAGTTTGGTTTAATTTTGTTAAAAGTCTACTTTAAGGAATATTTTGCTACCCAAATATTAATCGATTAATCAAAAAAATAATCGTTAGTTGCAGCCCTTATGTTTTATTAAGTTTCTAATAGGGACGAGTTCCACTTTTGAGTTTTTGGTAATATTTTAATTTGTTGAGATACCACTGTGATGATATGGCTTGGTGCAAGTTTGCAGTCAAATTTGCTAAGATATTTTGTTCAGTGTCTTTGTTTCTTTTTTTTCTCAGGTGAAAGTAAGAGTGGTCACCACAGAGCATGCCAAACACTTCTACAATCCCTCAGATGTTTCTGTAAAGATCTACACTGACAAGGATGAGTGGGAGGTAATAATAATGGGAAACACCAGAAACTACCTAAGTGGGTGGGAGTGAGATTCTCTTACCATGATAAATACCATGAATTCACAGAGTAATAATACTCAAAATATTTAAACAAAAGTGACTTGCAATCTAATCTTTTGAATAAGCAATTACAGCAAAAGTTATATTATTACTGCTATTATTTTTCTATTGTTGTTATAATGATATTGGATATTGATCCTTATAGTTGCACACAAATGTGACATTGACGATAGTAACAATAATGTACTTAAAACCCTTGTTTTTAGTATTTTAATGTACAAAATACAAAATTATAGAACATCATATATATAATGCTAGAATTAAGTCTAGGAACATTATGCATATTTGTAAGCCATAATAGAGCAGTTCAGACATTTTAAGTCACAGAGATCTAATAAGAGACCAGCAAAGATTGTGCAATTTTGGCCCGACATCCTGTCTCCTGTTTAGCTCTGGACCCAAAGATCCGATCCTGTGCTTCACATTGAGCTGAGACGCTGGGCAGACCTGCTGATCATTGCCCCTCTTGACGCCAATACTCTTGGAAAGATTGCTAGTGGGATCTGTGACAACCTACTGGTGAGAATGTAACATTAATATCCTCGAGTTTAGAAAAAATTATAATAGCAAACTACATGTGTTTTAATGTTTTTCTGAAACAGCTTAGTTTGATTGGAATTAATTTCTTTCAGACGTGTGTGGTGAGAGCCTGGGATACCAGTCGACCTCTCCTCTTCTGTCCTGCTATGAATACAGCTATGTGGCAGCATCCCATCACGGACCAGCAGGTCTCCAGGCTAAAAGAGTTTGGATATGTAGAAATCCCCTGCATTGCTAAGAAGCTAGTCTGTGGGGATGAAGGTAGGTTTTTATCTATATCTTAGGTTCTTAATAAACTATATTCCTTACTGAATACTTTGGTAAAAATAACCTACTGCTGATGTTAGATTTTTTTTTTTCAAAAATATGAGAAAAATCTGAAAATATAAAAAAAAAAATCCTAAAGTGTTTCATAAACTAAAATTGCAGAAACTTAAGGAAAAATGTTTAGTCAAGAGTAAAACTGTAAAATACACTGCCCCAAAAACCACTTACACAATATTTTAAAAACTGATGGCAACTTCAAACAAAACACTAGTTTCACAAGAAATAAAACAACCCTATCAAGTGAGAGGAACTCTACAGACATCGCTTTATGAAGAACGAAACAAACACAGCATGTGTTTTATTGCCAAAATTAGATATAAATGTTAAAATAAACAATTCGTCTGGATTTTTTGTGCTTTCTCCTGCGTTATTTATAATTAAAGACATTCCAGCAAATTTAACCACAGAAAAATAAAATGTGCTTGGCACTATCAAATGAAAACTGTTAAGGCTGTAAACAGACCAGTTACCTTACACTTAACGTGGACTCATTTTTACAATCTGTTAAAAAAATAAATAAA